CCTTGTTCCTCTGCCCTGGAAGGTAAATAAAGTTGCATCTTTCTCAAACTTTTTTGGGGTAGATACAAACACTATAGTTTTGAATATATTTCTCTCTCTATGAGATTATGGCTGGAAGTAATTGTGGAGAGAAGCAGAATGTGTTTCCAGCCCTGGAGAATGTCTGATCTCCACCAGTTTTCCTTTCTGCTCTGTCGCTAGTTGGCACTTGTGTGCCTTCGCTAGCTGTTTCAAAGCCTCTACCACTGGTTTGATTTCAGCTTCCATGAGTTCCCATGTTTTAAAGGTTGATGGGAACCCTTCGCTGGCTAATTTGCTTAGAACTTGTGATTTCAAAAGTCTTAACCAACAATAACATTTCCTGTTTCTTGAACCCTCACTGAGAGTGTTAGCCTTTGATAAAGGTCCATATTATTTTATTAAGTCTTTCTAATAATTAAAATTAGAGTTGACTATTCAGTAGGTAAGCAGAGTGCCAGAGCTCTTGGTATGCAGAGTTGGGACCGGGGCTCAGGTCTTTCTGACTCCATTCTGTTCCCTGCTGCCTGCCCTCCTAGAGAGCCAGTGCACTAAACCTGTGTCTTGAATCTCCTGCCAGTATTACCACTTGCTTTCTTACTACTAGGATAAAGTGGCTCTAAACTTAATTTTAAGTTGGAAATGAGATCATGAATTAATAGTGGAATTTCCCAGTGAGCCTATTCTGTGAATAAAGCCTATTATCTTGAGAAACCTTTGAGCTACTTCATTTGGAACTTCACATAAACATCTGGAGCCTGAATTCAGATGTTGTGACTGTGCAGCCTGTTGAAAAATTAGAATAAAGATGTGCTGATTAATGCTGCCTAAAAGAGCAGCAGGTCAGAAATGAGTTTGGGGATTTGTTTTCATCTCAAGCTTTCATAATGATCTTGGCCTAGCATTTTGCTAGGACCGTTTCTTATTTCCCCAGATCCTCGTGCTGTTATCTGCCCATACTGACCAAGTATAGCTTTGCCCTGAGGCTCACAGGACTGGAGCTAACAAGAAACTTCCTAGTCAAGTGGCTGCCTCGTGTCAGAAACAGTTGTGCCCACGCTTTCTCCATTAGGGATCTCTTTTGGGGTTTGAAGTGATTTCAGTTCCAGTCATAATACAGTGTTTATCATTTGCTATCTTCTTATAAACCTTTCACCTTAAATAGATTCCATGAGAGACCACATGGGAACTCTGATGGATGAGGGCCCATCCTGTCTTGGTGATCACCTTTACTTAGATGGTGTCATGAAGGACGCCAGCTGAGATCACTGTCTACCTTGTCTCCTCCAACATCACTGGTCCTATTCTGTGTACAGAGGTACAGGCGAGGGTCTAGATTTTTCAGGTTTGTGAAACTCCAGGCATTAAGTATTCCCACCTCCCTGTATAGACCTCCTCAGTCCTGGGCCATAGCCAACATCCCCTGCATAGTAATCTTTCCAGGGCTGTGCTGCACACTCCCTCTGGGCAAGGGCCCTGGGTGCTGGGGGTATGGAATGGCTGTGTCTTATGCAGATCTCAGTGTCTATGGACTATTGACTTAAACATAAAGCTTCTAGAAGCAAACAGCAGAATGTCTTTGTGACCTCGGGCAAAGGTTTCTTAGATAAAGACACAGGAAGCACTAACCATAAGAGATATAATAACTTGAGTTATATCATAATGAAATGTTTCTGCTTATCAAGACTTAGGAGAGTAAATTGGCAATAGACCAGGAGAAAATATTCATGCAACGTATATGACTAAGGACTCATATTAGAAAATAAAAGAACTACTGCATCTCAGTAATAAGACAAACAATCTAATTTAAAAAACTGTCCGAAGATTTGAAAAAGCACTTCACAAGGAAGATATACAAATGGCCAGTAATCATATGGAAAAATGTTCAATATCATGCTTATCAGGGAAATGTAAATTAAAGCCAACCAGAATGGCTAAAATTAAGAAGACTGATAGCATCAAATGTTGGTGCATGTGGAGTGGTAATGGAACACATGCATCACCTGCATGAGTGTGAAATGAGGCTACCACTTTGGAAAGGTCTGTTGGTCCTGGGGTGGGAGGGTACCATGGACATGAATAATGTAAGGGGGAAGGAGGACATTGTGGAAAGAAGTGGCAGGTTATAGCCAAAGGGCTAAGGGCTTCCAGGAGAGGGCAGCATGAGGTGGAAGTCTCTGAAGGAGAGGTGGACTATGGGGTGGGAAAAGAGTGAGGCAGGGAGACCCAAGCAGCCTGTGTCCCCAGAGCTTCTCCATCTGGCTGATTCTTTGTTGTTCGGAGTTGAGTCTGCCCTCCCCACCTTTTGTGGTACATTTCATGGTGTATAAGGCAGTTGCTTTGTTTAACTTGCTGATTTATTGTCATCTTCTCCATTGATTCTAAGCACAGAGGCCCCTGAGGGAGGAGGGGTCTTTGTCTGTTTTGCTCACTGCTGGGCCCTCAGCCAGCATAGTGTCTGGCACACAGTGGGCATACATTAAGCTCAGGTGGGCAGAGTGCGGAAGTACAGGAATGAAGCGATTCTGTTTGACTATAGGCAGGAAGTGCATGTTGTCGTACAGGGCCATTTGGGGCATTCCCTGAGGCATCTGAGCTGCATTTCTTGGTACTAAAGTGTTCCTGAGCAGTTTTGAAATGGGGGTTTTCTTAGCTCTTGGGGCTGCTGTGACAGAGTACTTTAGGCTGGGGGTCTTACACCTAGACATTGATTTTTCCCCGTTCTACAGACTGAAAGTCTTAGACCAAGGTACTGGTAGATTTGGTGTCTGGAGAGGGCTGCCTGCGGGTTCCCAGATGTGCATCTTCATACGGTGGGAGTGCTCCTTTGTCTTGACATTTTCCATTTAGAAAAATTTTTAATTCTGTTTTCTGTGATGATCCTTGTTAGTTTTTATAGTTGATAGCTATATCACTAGTATCAAGGCCTCTCTAGGAAGAGTCTGTTCTTCAGAGATATGTTCTGTGTGCAGGAGATTCTTGGTTTGTGTCTGTCCTAAGATCCTACCGCACCTGTTAACTGAGAGTAGAATGTTGGTTGCTGTTTGGCTCTGTCCCCAGTCATTTGGTGTAGGGTATGTGAGGTTATTACCCCAGAGCTTCCCAATATTGTTACACAAGAGAGAACAACTGATTACCACAGATGTGACATTCTATCTACAGTCATACAGTTAGCAATAATGATAGCATCAAGCACAATTTAGAAATTGACAAACTGTGATAACTATTAATTTTGTACTTTAGACCACAGGAGCAAAGACTATATTTATATAACAGAAACAATTGTAAATTAGGAGTTTGGATGTAAAGTATTTCCCCTTGTTCGAATGGATTTACCCTGGGTTCCTCCAGACAAGATGGTTGCCATGTCCCTGGCTCTTCCTGTGCTGGTTTCCCATCCCGCAGTGTAGGTGGTTAGGCCAGGAACCTGAGTTCATCTGGATAGAGGCTCCTATGATTGTGGAGGGGCAGTGGGCAGCGTCTCTCCTTTCCCTTGTGGCTCAGCAGGGTTCACCAAGGCTCCCTTGATGGCAGAGGGGCAGTGGGAAACATCTGTCCCCTCTCATGCAGCTCAACACGGCTCATCATGGCTCCCTAGATGTCAGGGGCTTGGGGAGGCGAGGCCTCTTCCCCTCCTGTGCTGTTCAGTGTGGCTCACCCAGGCTCCCTTGATGTGTGTGGAGGGGTGGGCATAGGACCTCCTGTGTAAGGATGCTAGTCCCATTCATGAGGCCTCCAATCTCATGACCTAATCATCTCCCAAAGGCCCCACATCCTAGTAATGGCATTTTTTGGCTTAGGATTTCAGCACATGGTTTTAGAGAGCCACACATACTCAATCTGTAGCAAGGGTGGTGTCTGTGAGTTGTACATTAAGAATGCTCATGGGACAGGTGTGTGGATGGAGGAGGAAAGATGGAGGAAGTGGTGGGAAGGCCCGTTGATGCATCTTCTGGATGAGAGGTGAAGGGGCCAGGCAAAGGCCATGGGTGCTGGGGATGGAATGGGTGGGAGAGGTTAAGAGCTGAAGTTGGCAGGGCATTCCATATGGCTGTGTCTCCTCAGAAGTATCTGGAAAGAGAGCCATTGTTACAAATGGGGCCAAGGAGAATGTTTCCTTGTGAATACCACCTCCAGCTGCAATGGATTCTGTCTGGCTTCCTCTCAGGGTAGTTGTGGTGCAGTGAGGTAAGACTGGACAGCAAGCGGAGCCATGACCTAAAGTCAAGTCTTGTCTCTGATGCTTCTTGGCTGTGTGACTTTGTGCAGGTTATTAATGCCTCTCCAAGCTTTAATTGTCCTTATCTATGAGCTGGAATAAATATAGCTCAGGGGATTGCTGTATTGACCCAATAAAGTATGTTAAATTTGCTGGCATATAGTAGGTGCTAAGGAACAGAGGGTTTTGTTACTACATCCTGGCCTTGTTGGGAGAATCATGTTAGGGCTTGGATGAAAGAAACTTGTTATAAGCCGTGAAGTCTCAACTCTAAGATAGGTGCTATTATCAACTATTCATTTCCTAGTCACATGGCTCTCTATATTTTTGTGTTCTAAGAAGTTTTGTGTCGGATGAAAGTCTCTGCCCGAATCCTATTATCTAGATGGTTTCTTGTTCCTTATCTTTCTTTTTATAAAGGACGTTTTATGTGATGTGTCGTAAACAACTTCATCCCAGAGAATCTGATCCTTCTTAGCAAAATGCCAGGTTGTGCTTGAAGCCATGGGCTCACAGAGGGTTTCAGAGCATTCGCAGTGGCAGCCAGAGCTTTGTCAGTAGTGTCACAGCACCTCGCTGGTAACAGGCTCTCCCTTTTCTGAGTGTCTTTCTGTTTTCTTTTAGAAGTTTCTTTCAAAAGCTTATGTGATCAAGGAATGTTATATACATGTATGAAAATACCACAATGAAACTTATTATTCTATGTAATAAATATACATGAACTAAATAAAGAAACCTTTGGTGCTTTCTTTCTGTGCTTCAGCTTTCTGAAGAAGAAAAGATTCAGCGCTATAGCATCCTCTCTGAGCTCTACGAGCTTATCGGCTTCCACCGCAAGTCAGCATTCTTCAAGCGTGTGGCAGCCATGCAGTGCGTGGCTCCAAGCATCGCTGAGCCTGGCTGGAGGGCCTGCTACAAACTCCTCCTGGAGACACTGCCTGGCTATAGTCTGTCACTGGACCCAAAGGACTTCAACAAAGGTACCAGTTGTCCAGGTGCTGGGACTGAAATATTGCTTCATTTTCACTAATCATGTGTGTTCAAGCATCTGCTTCCTGTAGTGGACTTTGTGATTGGTGATTCAGAGAAGACCAGAACCCCAGTCCCCATTGGGTACTTGCATCAGCAAAATAATAACAAAAAGCAATGGAGCTCTGATTTTGGGTTCACATTACCCATCTTTCTGACTATTGGCTCACAGTTTTGAATCTTGGTCAGCAGGGGTCAGAAGTCATCCTTGAGCTCATTGGCATGGTGCGTCATCCACAAAATACTTGAAATACCTAACAAATTTTACTTATGAAATTTAGTTAAGTCAGCAAAAATCAGTATATTTTACTTGGGTACATGTGTGTCTGTCTAGCAATGCATTTGGTGATAAACTCTTATTCTGCAATACGAATATCCTGTAAGGTAGCACATGTTAAAAAGCTCTAACTAGCACAGGTATACACAAACAGAAAGCCCACTGCTGGGCAAAGTCTCATTGTGAGGAGAAGGAACCTTCTTTTGGTTATTGTTTTATCTAGGGATTATGTAGCACTTAATTCCAGTTCAAATCAAGAATGAGTTTAGTTCTCACTTCCTTCTGGAGAGGAAAGAGCTGAGAAGTCCTCTAGTTCATTGTCCCAGCGGAGCACAGGTGGGTCTGTAGCATCTTTTTCATGTGGACACACATGGTAGAAACAAGGCCTGTGCAGCCTAGAGGAATTCAGTTCTGCTTCTGGGTAATTTTGATTATTGGGGCTGTCCCTCAAATTGAGGTACAAAGAGTTTATTCTTCCTTACTTTAACTTGTTGGAGTATCTTCAGACCTGCCTGCTCAATTTTGTTGTGTGTATGGATCCAGCCAGTGGGTGTTCTGTGCTTTTTTCCATGCTGGGCTGCATGTGGGGTGTAATAGGACGGTGAAGAAGGCACCTCTTCCCCTCTAAATAAGGAGGAACAGGCAGTCTGTCGCATGGGCCTGCAGAAGTTTGAAGAGGGCTCTCGGGACCTGTGGAGACTTCCTCTCTCTACACATCTCCAGTTTCCTGGTGGGCCTCAGAAGTTGCCCTCCCCAGACTAGTTACCACCCTCACCATGTGTCCAGAGCAGCATTTTACTTGGATGGACTCCATTTCTATGAGATCAGGCTTTCTGGGTAGATCTGGTCAGCCCAGAGCAGAGGTTAGCACACTGTATGGTGAAGGGCCAGGTGGCTTTGTGGCCATGCAGTCTCAGTGACTCTGCAGTTGTGGTGTGAAAGCAGCCGCATGAGGTATGTAATCCAGTAGACATGGTGGGTCAGATTTGGTATGATGACTGTAGTTTGCCAAACCCTTAGCTGAAAATACAGTGATATCTAAAGTCAGTTTTTTGTTGTTGTGGTCAAAATTTTCCTAAAATATTTTGTAAAGGCTTATGAGGAGGGGCAGTGGGCTTTTATGAGAGGAGGAGGTTGAGTAGCAGCAGGAGGAAGGTGGGAGGAAACTGGGGAAGTGGCCCTTCTATCAGCCCTTCACTTCTGCTGGGGGACCAGACCTGATCTTGGTGGTCCCTTTGCTCAGTAGGGTGCCTGGGCTATGGCCTGAAGTCAGGCAAAGAGGAGCAGGGAAGGGATGTGGCAGCCTTTGAGTTTTGTCTTCAGGGCCTGTGAGGACATCCTCCCTACCTGAGCCACAGGAAGGGGAAGGGCAGGGCAGAAAGCTGCTGTGTGTGACTGGGCTGCCCTCCTGTGCATGCAGCCTACCCACATGCCCCTTCTATGCTAGGTTCACAGAACAGCACACCTTTTCTTGTCATCCTGCTGTGGGCATTTTCCTCCATAATACTGGGGACTGAACTACATCCCTAGCGTACCTTCCCCGCTTTTATTTTGATGTAGGGTCTGGCTAGCTCACTAAATTTCCCAGGCTTGAGTTTGTGATTTTCTGCCTCAGCCTCGTAGAGTACTGGGATTATAGACTTGGACCACCAGACCTGGTTTAAGAATTAATTTTATTATATTGTTCCCATCACCACACTTTCCCTTGGGTGTTTTTTCTTATTTTGTAAAACAGATTTTTTGAGCAGTTTTAGGTTCGCAGCAAACTTGAGGATACAGTAGATGGTTCCCATTTACTTCTGCCTCCCCAGAAGCATAGCTTTCCCCACTGTCAGCAGTCCCCACTAGGGTGGAGCACTTGTTATAAGTGATAGACCAGTATTAGCACATCGTCACCCGAAGCCTGGAGTTGCCATCTGGGTTCACTCTGAGTGTTGTGCCTTCTGTGGGTATTGACAAATGGGTAATGACATGTGTCTCCTATTACAGAATCGTAGAGTAGTTTCTCTGCCTTAAAAGTCCTCTGTGCCTCGCCTGTTCACCTGTTCTTCCCCTGTACTCCTGAGAACAACTGATTCTTTTACTGTCTCTGTAATTTTGTCTTTTGTATAACATGACATGATTGCAGTTATATAGTATCTAGATTTTTCAGACTGGCCTCTTTCTCCTAGTTATATACTATTATTTATAATAAGTGTGTTGCATATCTTTTAAGTCTATTGCATATCTTTTCATAGCCTACAGCTTATTTATTTGTGGCACTGAATAATACTCTATTGTCTACATATACCATGGTCATTTACATATTCATCTACTTCATCTTGATTGACATCTTTGTTGCTTGCAAGCTTTGGCAAGTATGGGTAGAGCAGCCATAACCTGTTCATGTGCAGTTTTTGTGTGCACGTGAGTTTTTAAGTCATTTGGGTAAATGTCCAGGAGTATGGTTGCTATATCATATGGTAAAAGTATGTTTAGTTTTATAAGAAAGAGCAAGACTCTCTTCCAGAGTGCCTGTTCTTTGCTGTATTCTAACCAGCACTGAGTGAGAGCTCCTGTTGCTCTACATCCTCACCAGCTTTGGGTGTTGTCAGGGTTATGAATTTTGGCCATTCTCATGGGTAGATAAGTGGTACCTTATTGTTAATTTAATTTAAATTCCCTAAAGATATGTGATAGTGAACATTTTTCATGTGCTGATTTGCCATCTGAGTATCTTCTTTGGTGAAGTATCTGTTCATATCATTTGCCCATTTTAAAAATGAATTGTTTGTTTTGTTGTTGCTTTGAGTTTTAAGAATTTGTTATGTAATTTGAATAACAACGCTTTATCAGCTATGTCTTTTGCAAACATTTTCTCCCACTCTGTGTCTTGTCATTTGCGGAGTAGAAATTTTAAATTTTATTTATTTATCTGTTATATTTATTAGGACATGTTTGCTGTACATCACGATTACATTCATTGTGGGAGTTGGTGTATGTGCACAACACATCTTAATTCTTTTTACTTCCCCTTGTCCTCCTCTCCCTCCTAGAAGTTTAAGATTTTAATGACCTCTAGCTTATCAATTCTTTCATGGATGGAATCTCCTAGATTTCTACTATGTTAACTTCTAGGGATTTCAAAGTTTCACATTTTGCATTTCTGTCCGTGATCCATTTTGAGTTTTTTTGTTTTGTTTTGTTGTTATTGTCTTCTTGAGACAGGGTCTCCCTTTGTAGTTCAGGCTGGCCTCAGCTCACTTTGTAGTCCAGGCTGGTCTTAAACTTCCAACAATCCTCCTGTCTCAGCCTCCTGAATGCTGAGGTTACAGGCATGTACCACTACGCCCGGCTTGAGTTATTTTTTGTGGAAGTCCTCGGTCTGCCTGGATCCTTTGTTTTACCGCTGGATGCTGCATTGTTCCAGTCTGTTGGGAGGACTGTGTTTGCTCTGTTGCCTTTGCTCCTTTGTCAAAGGTCAGTTGACTGTACTTATGTGGATCTATTTTTGTATTTCCTATTCCTTGCTCTAGTGATCTTTTTTTATCTGTTCTTTCACCAAAAATCACATTGCCTTGACTATTGTAGCTTTATAGTAAGTCTTGAAGTTTGGGATATTTTCATTTATTAAATATTGCTCTTATTGGGCATGATAAAAATGACTGTTCACAAAGTGACTGTTCATAAAAGGTGGTTGTTCACATTTTATGCACTGTTTCCTGGTATTTTCGGTGACATACCTAGAGCGGCTGCCATGCTGGGCAGGGTTGCTGCCTGCAAAGGGGCACTTTGTTCGTGCTTGCCCAGCATTTGCCTGGCTCAGGGTGGCTGAGTCTGTATCTTCTCTGCCTGAATAGGCCTTATCCTCGGCTCTGCATGCCCTGAGGGGTGTCTGTTTTACCTTCACTGAGATGGCCTACAGCTCTTGATGAATGGTTTTTTGTGAGTCGGGTATTTCTTATAGCTCGGTGAGCAGGACTGTGAGCTCCGTGTGACACACCAGGGACAGAGACTTGGCAAGGTGAAAGACCCACCCCTGAATTCAGACACTGTTCCTGCCTGGCTGTGTGACCTTGGCCAAATCACTTGGTGTCCTGCCTCAGCACAAAGGGATGCTGGTTTATCTTGAGGAGAGGAGGTTCTTACAGGATTGGATTAGTCCCTGTGAGGAGTTTAGGACGGTTCTCAGCATATTTGTTGCTGTTACTGTCAGGTCTGGGTTTCAGATCCAAGACAAGTGCTCTGTCTAGAGAGTCACAGCTGCCAGTATAAAAGACATAAAAGAAAAAGCACTGAAGCCAGGCATGGTGGCTGTAGATAGTAGATCTAGAGGTTGTAGACCTGTAGATCTAGAGGCTGAGGCAGGAGGATCACAAGCCTGGCCTGTGTACCTCAGTGACTTGGTAAGACCTTGTATGAAAACAAAAATTTAAAAAGTAGCTTAGTGCAAAGGCTCTGGATTTAATCGCTAGTGCTTGAAGGAAAGCACTGAGGGTCAAGGGCTTCTAAGCCCAGTAGCCACCTGAGAAATACATACCTCCATGGCACTTTGATGGCGTTGATTGGAGTTAAGGTCAGAAATCACTGGATAAGCCAGGCATACCCGTAATCCCAGCACTTGGTTTTTTTTTTTTTGGTTTTGGTTTTTCTCCGGTATCGGGAACCGAACTCACGACCTTGTGCTTGCCAGACAGGCGCTTTGCCACT